AAACTGAAAACTCTCCTCAGTAAACGTTTCTAGATGAAGGATCTTGGCCCTGCTAAGGTGATCCTAGGAATGGAAATTGAGAGAGACAGGACTCAACGGAGGCTTGGGCTTTTTCAGAAGAGATATCTTATCAAAGTGCTAGAAAGGTTTGATATGAGTGAAGCCAAGCCAGTGAACACTCCCATAGCTCATCACTTCAAGCTATCAGTGAGTCACTGTACCTTATGCCAGCGCAGTAGGGAGCCTGATGTACTCCATGATATGTTCAAGACCAGATATAGGATATGCTATAAGTCTTGTCAGCAGATTTATGAGCAATCCTGGAAAGGCTCACTGGCAAGCTGTGAAATGGGTGCTGAGATACATTAAAGGGTCACATGATACTGGCATTATCTATGGCTGCAACAACAGATCCTCAAAATTTCAGGTGGAGGGTTTTGTAGACTCAGACTATGCCGGGAGTCTGGACACCAGAAGATCTCTCACAGGATACCTGTTTACCATTGGAGGTGGTGTGATAAGTTGGAAGAGTAATCTCCAGCCAATGGTCACTCTATCAACTACTGAAGCTGAGTATATTGCTGTCACAGAGGCAGTGAAGGAAGCAATCTGGCTTAAGGGTCTTGTAACTGAGCTTGGATTCAATCAGAAGCAAGTTACAATTCATTGTGACAATCAGTCAGCTATTCACTTGTCAAAGCATCAAGTGTTTCACGAGAAGTCAAAACACATTGACATCAAGATGCATTTTGTGAGGGACATCATCAAATCAGGTGGAGTAAGCATAGAGAAGATCAGCACTGAGGATAATTCATCGCACATGCTCACGAAGTCAGTTCCAAGACACAAGTTCGCTCATTGTCTAGGGCTGATAAACATGAGGAAGAAGATGAAGAAGACTGGTCCTTAGGGATCAGGAGAAGAAGATCACTTCACTAGATGAAGGTGTGTTCGACTGAGGTGGAGAATTGTTTTAAGGTCAGTCTCAAGGCTTCATCAATAAGCTCAAGTACAAGATTCTGCAGATGAGTTCAACCGTTGGATCATACCAGGCGATTGCTTGCGAAGGAAGCTATCAACGGCTGAGATCAATAGTTATGTTTTGTGTAGTTTTTCTGTATAAATAGAGTAGAATGAAGGTAGGGATAAATGTAACTTCATTCTCATTTTCAGTTTTAGAACAAACACTTTTGAGAGACAAATTGTAAGGGAAACACAATTTGGGGAAAAGTGAGGACGAGTGTGTAATTTGAGAAACCTAATAGTGATTTGATCTTCGTTGCTGGATGTAGGCACATTGCCGAACCAGGGTATATCGTGTGTTCACTATTATTCCGCATTTTGATTTGATTGCGTGTAAGATCCTAGTTAGCGTATTGGTCTGTGTTCTTGATTCATTACCGAGGTTTTCACTACAATTAGCAATTCAAAATGTCGTTCTGCAATCTTCGCAATGCTGTTCGATGATGCTCTTCAACCTGACTGCCGAGGAGGGCTCACGTGGCCGTTGAATCGAGAGAAAGAGGTCAATAGGATTCTGTAGAGAAACACCCATGACTGTAGATTAAAGACGTGAATGCTTAGATATCAGAGGCACTGTCTCATTTCGTAGAAGATCAATGAAAGGTTCAATTCAGACATTTCGACAGAATTTGGGCTATTCTGAAAGCGAGCTAATCGCTCCACATGGCACTTTTGAAATCACTGCGGCTGAACTCTGGTTTGTACATAACTCAGTGCACGGGCAAATGAACAATTCATCCTCGATTTCTGGAAGCTTTCTCTCGAAGCAGGGGGAGAGCATGGAAGCGCTGTCCTAAACCGACGTGGTCGGCCATCTCTAACTTGTCGGAGTGAGAACCTGTAGGAAAGCAGAGGGAGAGGACGAGGACGAGCCTCGATGCAGGTGGGAAAGCGGCTAGAGCTGGACGCAGAATCTGTCATGAGGTGGACGAAATACTCTGGGGCCTCATACGACCAACGTTTCCGGTTAGGCTGAGAATGGATGACTCCTACTGCGAAAAGAATTACACCATTGAGTGCGCAGATTTCAATCGAAGTCCATCTGAAGATGTCGAGTACTTCCTCCGAGATTTCGAAGCCATCGCGCAGTACAACGAACAGGTCTCGGATGAAGACAAACTGCGAACTCTTCCAATTTGCTCAAGGAACGAGCTCTCAGTTGGTACACGTCTTTGAATGCAGACGAACGAGGAGATCGGGAAAGCCTCCGCGCTGCGCTTGTGAAGAAATTTCGTCGAAATCCTGACAGATTGCTGACCAAACTCAGCAGGATAAAGAAGAAGCCTGATGAATCCATTAAAAAATACCCGATCAAACTGACAAGGTTGATCAATCAATTGCAGAGTGGCGATGAACCCTATCCTGAAAGATTGAAGGTTTGGTGGTAGTTGAAGGGACTGCCGACATCCATTCGCAAGTATTGCCTGCAAGCAGGTAATAACTCCACCATGGAAGCTGCCATATCGGTTGCCAAGACCTACGAAGAGACGGCTAAGACTCCTCGTGAAGATCTTCACGGAAGAGGTACTAAAAGGTCAGAGGATGCGGATGCTGACGCTGATGCGAGTTAGGGCTCCGATAGGATCGGGCTCGGGTCGGATTTGACCTTGAACCCGACCCGAACAACCGGGTCGGATTCGGGTAGAACCCGAATCGGTCGGCAGATCCATGATCGTGAGGGGACGGTGAGGGAGAATCGTGAGATTGGAGCTGCATTTTGAGGAGGCAGGACGAGCAGCATATGTAGGGCAGCACGTCCCAGCTAGACGCAGAAGCAAGGGAGCGGGTGCCTGCATCGCATCGAGCGAGGTACGTAGCAGGCGGGACGAGGAGGAATGCTAGACACGGAGGAGGAGGAGAGTTTCGCGAGACGGAGCGGAAGCCGATGCAGACGACGACGACGGACCAGCTGGTCTTGCAGCTGAGCTCTTATCGGTCGTTGCTTTATTGATTTTCGGGTCGGGTACAGCGCTCTACCCGAACCCGATCGGAGGCCTAATGCGAGTTCTGAAATTTCTGATATTGAGAGTTGTACATCCATGGGCACATCCATTTCCAGTATTGCCGAATCAGTTGATTTGAAGCGCAGAAACTTAGCTCAGAGAAAATTCATTCCTCGCCCAGCCCGGGAGAGGACAGCCGGTATACGCACTGATCGTCATTCAACGACGGGTGTTTAACGAGAGGCGGCGAAGTTCTGCTGCAAGAGTAACGATCGACAAGAAGATGTGAGATTTGGAACAAGACTGGATCGCCGATCTGTAAGTATTCAGGATGACTTTGAAAGGCTTAGCAGGAGACTGCACGGGCAAATCTACCTTTGAAGATAAAATTGGACGAGGTGGATCGATGAAACCAGGAATTTTATCAACGAGAGCACGGAGGGATCAATAACTGCGGCAAGAGACGCAACTTGCTCGTTCTCTCCTGACAATGCCTTCATTGAACACTGCCGGAAATGGATTGACTACTGGAAATACAGTATCTCCACCTCATCGTAAGAGCATAAGTTGAGATGCGAATCCCGTCAGGAAATAATTAAAACCCCACCAATCACCTATTTACTCAACCTAAAAACGTCTCGTCAGGGAATGGACCGCAAAACACCCCGGGGGTTTTCGGTTGAGTTGAAATATGTGCTTACATATCACTTCATTGCCAGCGCGACAATTGTTACAAATTCTGATAATTGGTTGGAGTCACGACAAAATTGTTGCAAGCATGCCCAAGCCCCCTTTCAAGATCAAAAGGCCTGGCCCATGCTTGCATCACAATACATACATTTGTGGTATATACATAATATACATAATTGTATGTACAACGCATAAATGAGCATAAAATAACTAACTCTTATAAAACCGTAAGTAATACATAGTTAGTGTATATTGTGCGATGCTCTATAAATTATAGAGCATCGCAGAGTGTACACAATATATTGTGAGATGATCTCCATATGCACTAAACCACTCCATCAGATTCTAAATGCTAGACTATTACACAAGAGAGTTCTCCAAATACATTACGTTTGATTCTTGAGTGTTGTTGTAATATGATTGGTTTTCTGTGGCTTCTTGCACTTCGAACACACCAATTTGAACCTCAGTCTGGAATAAACCATTAGAACCACATTACCCACCTCCAAGAAAAAGAATAATAGTTAAAAGCAAATATAAGTTCGTGAAAGAATAAATTTTATCGTATTTTCAAGAATAAAATTCGTATCCAAAAATATATTATTTCTATAGGACAAAATTTCAAACAATTTTGTTCGATGTATTTAGTTTCAAAAACTTGTCAAATACCAAACCATGGTCAATTTTGAATAGTTTTATTTTTTCAATTACTCCATTGTCTATAACTCTAGAATCTATATATATATTTTAGAGTTACATTTATAGTTTATACATATATGCCCCGTATACAAAATGCAAATGAGGCCTGCCCTCGCCCCGAGGCATGCCTTTTTGGGTGGGCCTCCAACCCTACTCCTATGTCTCATTTACCTGATGACTCACAATCCCCTGTTTGTACATGTTTGACTATTAAGGACGAAGAGTACGGGTTCCGGTTAAATCTTGTAGTTGGCCTTTCGCCGGAGTATAGGTCTCCTCTACAACTTGCTTTGCCGAATAGAGGTCTTAAGAGAACACCTTCAATGCTCAAGACGATCGTGTGTAATGCAACATGAGTAGATCTACTTTTTGTATATCAGTAAACGCCCTTCCAGTGTACCACAAGAGTTAGTACTGTTGTTCCCAGAACCATCAAAGGAGCGAACCAATTCATGAAGGCCATACCAATTGATTTTCAGATTTCTTGTCAAAGAAAAATTGAATTCATCATGATTTCGTCACCGAAAAGGTACGAAACGAACATTTCTGGATGAGTCTGGGACTCGTAAGATTTGCTCCAGACTAATAGTGAACACTGAATGTGGGATGGGCACGGCTCGGCTCATGGCTAGCCGGCTAATATTTTTTGTTAGCCGGCTAGCCGATAAACACTGCCACTTCTATCCGAGGCCGAAAACGACCCGTAAACTCGGACAGAATTTACGTTTTCGGCCGATTATGTACTCAGTTTGGGCCGAAATTATTCAATATTTCGACCGAATATTGAGGTTGATTGCATTTTCGGCCGATAACCGACTAGCCGACGGCTAGACGAAAGTTAGCTGGCTACGTGCCCATCCGATCATGTCAGTGACTGACATGATCCAAAGCTGTATTACAAACGCAAAGCTCTTTTTATTGAATTCGTAGCTGATGTGTCCCTTCGAGCCTAGATGTCTCAAAATTGTTAGATTGGATGAGAAATTTTTCATCAGTCTTCAGCCACGTATCGATCTTTCCGAACTTTGAATATCAACCTCTGTCAAGCAACAACACATATGGAAACTTCTGAATAATACGGGCTCAGGTCAAACAGCTCGTGAAGATCAGGTTGCAGTTCCAAGTTTCTCTTCTTGTAAGCAGCCACCAGAACCTGGAGAACTCTTGTGAAAGCACTTCCAGAGGGGGTTTGATGGTAGTACAGAGGATGAGCGATAATGAAACTCAGAGTTACAAATCCAACGATTCCGGCTGGAATTGCTCCGACCCATACCCAACCATACTGTTCCTGCACCCAAGGGAAGAAGGCCAACGAGTCGATGACACGCTCGATGCTCAGACTGAACCACCACCAATTCATGAACGACGCCCTCTCATGCTTCTGCCCAGGATCAGTGTCGTCAAATTGGTCTGCAGAGAATGCCGTCACACATGCCTTGATTCCTCCCGCTCCTAAGGCCATCAAGTACAATGAACCATAGAAGAAGACTCTTTGGGGCACACTAGGCTTGTCGCACATGGTGGTGAGGAGATGATGATCACACGTCGGAGGTTTGAATCGCTCGAAGGACATGGAGACCGTGACACAAACCAATGCCTGCAAGTTTCCAATTCAGAATCTCGTCAACTGAGCCGTGGAGCATCCGTCTTTCAGTCCACACTCTGCAGAATATTTGCACAAGCTTTGAATATAGGAAACTTAAATCCTAGATTCTAACCTTCAAGATATACGGAGAATTCGAGAGATTGTATTTGCTTGGCATAAAGCAACTCCAGAATATTCGACACCGAGCTTTAACATGAAAGAAAATCGTCGTCAATTAGAGATATATACCAGGAAATATATTATCATGGACCAGACGATGGTCCAATAACGACTCAAGAATGCATCCGCAACAAATGCTCCAATAATGGGAGTAAGAAACGTAGTTCCTGCCCAGATGATATAGTTTCTGGCTGCCTCGGCCTCGGTCTCTTGCAGGACTGTCGTAAGGTAGACAGTGAGAGTGGAAGATATGGCGTAATACGCTACTAACTCTGCCACCTCGCATGCTGAAGCAACAGTCATATCGCCAAGGATTAGTCGGACTGAGGAAAGGAAGGCTCAATGCATCGACAAGAGTGTTGATAAAATGTAACATATGTAAATTCATGCAAATTCTAACACCAGAATATCCATGAATTGTCTCTCCAGTTAGAGTAACTCAGAGTTACAAATCCATCTGTAACTTGCCTCTCCATCCCATTTTTCAATGAAGGAAAAGTGTTGACAATCAATCGGGTAACACGAGATAGCTGACCAAATGAGCTAGATGTGCATGCATGGACTCACTGATAAACAGAACATGCACAACGAAACACACAAATCTTACCGAAAATGACGTGACATGTCTCCTCCCAGTGATACGGATGATCTCGTCTCGACATAATGGGACGATTTGGCATCAGCTCCTGAAAGTTCTGAACTAACAAGATAAATAGCATACTCTAGCCAAACAGGTAGAAATCCAGTGAAGGTTGAGAGAAGTACCACATTGAGTAGGAGTGGAATTTATATCGAGAATGAACCGGAGCTCTCTATGAAAGTCACAGATTGGACACAGATTTCGACGCAAAATTTGGAGGTGGAGGTGGAGCCAAGGGGCTCGGGCCCAATGACCCGGTTTGAGTAGCGACGCAAAATTTGGAGGTGGAGGTGGAGATGGAGCCAAGGGGCTCGGGCCCAATGACCCGGTTCGAGTAGCAGGTGTGCTCTCTCCATCGCCCGAGCCCCCGGTTCGAGTAGCCTCTGTGGGCGATCCCCAGCGCCTGCGCGCCAGGTTCAAAGAAGCCTTTTGCCTCGGAGACCGGCAGAGGGCACCGGTCGGACTCTATGACCCGGTTCAAGTAGCCCCGGTACGCTCTGCCCATCGCCCGCGCGCCCGGTTCAAAGAAGCCTTGTGACTCGGAGACCGGCAGAGGGCACCGGTCGGACTCTATGACCCGAGTAGCTCCGGTGGGCGCAGTTCCCGAAATGGAAATAGTTTCATCCAGCAATTTGTTGGGGGGATTCGCAGCGAATAATTTTTGCACTTTTTCACTTTTTCACAGTCTTTTGGGTTTGGCTGCGAAATTGGCTGCTATTGGTTGAAATTGGCTGCTATTGCTATGAAATTGGCTGCTAATTGGTTGACTATGTTATGGTTGACTATATGCCCCTTTGAGCCATATCAGTATGTTTGCAGAGCGAGGTGGCCCGGATGCTTGCAGATCCGGGCCACCTCGCTGCTAGAAGAAGCTAACGGACTCGTAGACCGCACCAGAACACCTATAAACATATGCTATTGGCTCCGGTGATACGCGTAAACTCTTAGGCACTTTCGCCATGCTGAGCATTATATCAGTTTAGTATAGTTCTCTAGGCACTTTCACAATCTCACCGCCCAGCATTATATCAGTTTAACAGATTCTGGCTTTCAAACCCTTCCTTCGCGGAATGTCACGCAGGAGTATCACGGTGCAACCTGATTGCTCAGTCAGCAATCAGCTCACGGTCTACAGCTATGCAGAGTACGCAAGGCGGGCCTGCTGTTTATATCAGGCCTCCTAAAAAGTGGCATTCTATTTATAGTTGCCACATATGCCACAAATAAATTTCAAAATTTGCCACTTTTAAGGAATTTTTTTAGTACTCGCATTCCGTTGGAGCGCGCAGTTTGTATTGTTTCTTAGTCCATCCTAATCCAGCAATGGTGTCCAGGAAGAGAACAACACCGTTTCAAGAGAAGCACTGCATCCAGTTTGGACTGGAGATCGCAGGACGTGACATTAAGAAGCTGGTGATATGTGTTCAATGTAGGTTCTGCGTGCATTTTGGTCGCGATGGAGACGATGTCGGCAGAAAGAGAGCACGCAGCAACGCGATTTGCTATTTCAGTCCACCATATGGTCCCCAGCTCTATCGCAAACATCTCGAGAACCAGCACTCATCGGAATGGGCTGAGTATTGCCGGCTTCCGCCCGACGAGCAGAGAGTGTACTTCGACAAGTCCAAGAACACCACAATGTCGTCCTTTTGTCATTCGGCCAGCGATGTTTTGCATTTTACTATTGTTGAACCCATTGTCAATCTTATCGAAGACCTTTTTTTCACCCTGATGATGATGCAGCTGACGGAGATTAGGAACCAATTACGAAAGCCAATGCAATGAAGCTGTTCAAGCGTGATGAGGGTAGTGAATCAAGATCGGTTGTTATCAAAAACCAGCTACGGTTTTGGTTGGCGATTGACCACACATCTTCTGGGCTTTCTTTTCGCCAAACGGCAGCCGTTATCGAACAACATCGACGTCGCACCAAGAATCCGAAGCTCTCCGGAATCAGCGACCATATGGTGTTGCAGTTCGTACGAGTTATCGTTGCTGTAGATCTCCAATTTCTCAGCAAAATTCTCTCCCGGAGTGATGTTTGGGCATTTTCGATTGCGTGCGATGGTTCCTCTCACTTTGGAATTTCCTATCTCGACATTCGGATTCGTTTGAGTGTTGAAGGTGTCCTCTACAACTTTCATCTGGTTCTGGTTCCGTTTTAGGATCGACACACTACTTTGAACATTTTCAATCTCAATGTCAAGGTATTGGACGTTCTGTATTCGCAGTGGCGAGAGAAGCTGCTTTCGGTCAGTAGTGATGGCAAAAACACAATGACAGGCCGGCACGGTGGTCTTGTCACGTTGTTGGAAAAGGAAGCGGAGAATCATATCCTTCGAATTTGGTGTCCACCTCATCAGATTGATCTTGTTATCAAAGGCTGCACAAAGAGAATGGACGGTGGCGATTTCTACAAAACATGCATTCTCGGTCCATTTACGGGCCCAGCAGAATCTCGCCACAGCTATGGGCGGCACCAAATGTCCAAAAGACGCGACGCGATGGGTGGCCTTTGGTAAACTAATCAAGTGGATCCTCTAGCATCGAGTCGAACTCTTTAACCATATCGAATCCAGGAACCCTATTCAATCGCCATCAAAACCTTGGTGGATCATGGCCACTGCTGTGACTTCTATGTTCGACACCGTAGCAGTTACGTTCGCGATACTGCAGTCTCGGGACCTTGTCCTTTCACAGCAGCAGGGCGAAATCGATAACCTGATCCTCCGTCTCTATAACAGTATGTGCATTCGTCACGAAGACATTGACAAGTCTTTCCTCGAGATCAACCAGACAGACTTTTACAAGCTGGATGCATGGTGGATAAGCATGGAAACGATCGTTGGGCACGTCAAAGATCAGGGCTCGTGGGCGCGGGACATGTTCTCTTCATTCACTGACGATGTTAAGGCTGCCACTTTGGGTGGCATTGCCAAATTCGCCATCGAACTGATAATTGGCTTGAAAAAAGTTTGAGCCGAGCGTGATTCCAACAACAACGCGTCCAATGAAGACGCATAACCCGTGATGCCTGCCCAGCTGATCCGTCTCCGCCCTCGCGATTTTAATCGGGGTGTCCTTGATCTTTTCCGGATTCGTCTCGCAAAGTTCTGGACCGCTGCCCAAATTGAGGAAGTTGAAGCGGATCACCGGGATTTGATCAAGGCGTATGAGAACAAGGAAACTGTCCGGCGTACAATTGATCGACATGACCTGAAGACGATGTTTAACAAAGCCTAGGATTCGTTGAAGGACCAATTCAAAACACTTCGGTGCTTCTACAGCGGCTTGGCGACCGCCTTCGCCAACACAACATCGGTTGAATCCGATTTTTCGGTACTGAAGTGGGAGGTCGACTCGAATCGGACTTCTTTAACAAATTTGACTATTGAAGGCATATTCCAGAGCAAGCAAGATGAACTTTTAAATCAAATTTAAATAGATGCCACTTATAAAACAGAAATTGTGCCACTTTTAAGCAAAAAGTGGCATTGGGTGGCAATTGCCACTTTTTAGGAGGCTTGGTTTATATGCACGCTCTACGATGTTCAGAGAATGTCTTGTCTTGTGGAAGTGTTGTCTTGTGCGTCGACGGCTGTAGGAAGAGCTCGACTTCAAGATGACAAGGGTTGTACTGTATATCTGTCGACAATAAGATTTACTATATTTACTATATTTTATCTCTCAAATAAAGACTTATTTTTCTAGCAAAATCACTTCCCACTGTCTTTTCGTCTGAGTGTAGAATAGGAATGAAGAATTTGAATCTCGAGTGTGTAGGACAGAGGTGAACTTGCAAGCATAGAGGTCTAATTGACTCATAATGGCAAGGTATAATATTTTGTCCAACACTTTTCCTTGAATCTAAAGTACATAGTAACTAGATAGCATAGATAGCCAAAAAAGAGAAAAAATGTGTACAATAATGGGATTTGAAGATCAGCATTTGCAACGAGATGGAGTTAGTAGTCCAAGTTTAGTAAAAAAAACCCTGAACCCTAGGATAGGGGGCACTTGAGCTCAATAGTTGGAACTGAGATGCATAAGCAGCGGATCAAAGAACATTGGTCGTATCTGTTGCAGTGAACCACTGCAACACTCGTTCATTGAAGGTGTTGTGAACTTCACATCAACCTAAAACTTTGTGAAAGATCCGGTACCATCATCTTCTTTGCATACTGTCTTTACCTTCTTTCAATCCAATCATGTACTCTTTTCATAAGCAAGTGATGCTTATGTGGAAAGGTTAAATTAGATAACCAAATATGTATTATTGTGAAATTGACTTTGGCCGAGATTTATTACATCTAGAGAATCTAAAATCAACCTTTTTTTGTGCAAATATGTATGGCCATACAACTTCTATCGCTGACATGTCATAATTACACACACATATAGGAAATAAAATTGTACACACAGAAATATATCACAACTCACTCCCCTAGCTGGCGGTCAGGCACCTCTAACTCCAAGTTGCTCTATCTACAATAACATGTTATAGATCTTCATGATTGCACAAATTAGTAGACCAGGTGCTATGTTGTCTCATCGTTAGTTGTCTATCTGCAATTCGTAACACATGAAAATCAAGTCATCTATACCTCTGAAGTACATCGAGTACAACCCCATCGTCCAGTCGGAAGAACGTAAATAAGTGAAATCAAGCACGACATGTGTCATCCCTTAGAATATTTATCACACACCAACATACAGGCCGCCTGACCAGCTGATACACATAACATGCACCTCAAGCCAACACGTAGTGCTGTCAAGCTTGGATTCATAGTACCATCCACGTTTGAGAGATGGCATGATGCATAGTTGCGCACATGATACTTCCAAACAACACCGTCATGATACTCCAACATGAGAACCCTAGAAGATAACACTTCTTGCACTCGCAAGATAGTGCGTCACGCCGTCACATCCAATGTTATTGGTGCAATCTGCTATAAATAGAAAAAGTTTTACATATGAAACCTACAAATCTATGTGTGGTAACACACTTTTTGTTTTTTTTGCAGAATTTAAACAACTTTAGAAAACAAGTACCGAAGCAGTGTCTGTAGTTAGAAAAGGGTACGTTAAATAGAGTGGATTGAGGAGATCGTCACGAGGTCACGAAGAATCGCGAAGTTGGATGTACCAGCGCCAAATTCCTTCGACGCC